TTTGTACACAGATCAAAATACTAAACTCAATTAAATTGTTTCAACACAAATAATCTTTCTCTTGCTTTTCTCTTTGCTTTTTTAGCAAAAGCCGATTAATATAAGATTGTATCTAGTGCAATCTAACTCAAAATGTTAAGTAATATGTAAAATTCTTCAATAATTTTCGCTAATTACTTAAATCAGCTACCAGATCGTTGCTTATTTGCGAGAGATAATTTAAATCGCAAAGAGTTAAATAATGAATGTTAATTATAGTAGAAAAATAAAAAGTCCATTCAAGTAAAGACCAAGAAGTGATACTAACTGTGTCATTATACACAGAAAGTTCAAACGACATCACAGACGGAAAACAAGGGCTGCGAAACTTACGGACTTTCGTGGTTCTCCGGCCAATGATTTCACTCTTGACACATCCAGGCACAGCGCGGACACGTCAGTCTCTGCAAGCACATAAGGAAAAGATTGTTTATATCCCTTCGAGCGTTGTTCCATTATTTGAAAAATGCGGAGCGTGCAAGAATTACATGATTAAATTAACAACGACGACGATGAAGATTCTTTCACGAAGATCGATGAAAGAACGCGACGCATTGATGGACTGTGGTGCTGCATGATTTACAATTTTTCTCCCTCTTCTTCGTTCTCCTCGTTTAGGACACGTTTGCCTAAACGTGGAAGACATTTTTGATCGCAAATCGAATAAGAGGAGAATAAGATTTATTACTTACCTATCGTCATGCCGCGCAATACGCGTCACAGAAATCACCAGGGATCACAGTGGATCGCTGGTGACGCGAATACCACTGGCGAGTGGCGATGACCAGACCGCAGTCAGCACTCAGCAGATGGCAGCCAGAAATGATCAACGATGCCACTTTACTGTCCAACTTCATCGTCAAATCAGGATTCAGAGCGGCGCGCGCGTTATTCAAATTTCAAACCTCCGTTTGATAGGGGTAGTCCTTTTTAAATCTTAAGATTCTATTAGGTAAAATTTGGGCATAATTGAGGAGCTGGATTCTATAAGGGGATACGCGTGAATTTCACGGAATAAGTTAGAGTATTTAATTTTGCTATTTTTAAAAAACAAATAAATTCCCAATAATCCAGGGCAAGTGAGAGTTCAAACGTGTGGTTGTTGGTACGTAGGTATAAAGTGAAGCGGAGTTGTTAGAAAATCCTTTATTCAACAAT